TTATGGACAGCATGGCAAGGACAAGGGGAAAGCTCTGAAGAGCTGATGGGTTTATCGTATCCGGGATAAACTAGCGGTTGCATATTTGTTTTGGCGTAGGCTTGGTTGGTTTTCTAGGGGTTGCATATAGGTGCTGCAGTTCTAGTGGTTCATTAAAGCTTTATATACAACTTCATGGGTAGCAGCACTACGGAGGCAGTGTGAGTGCCACCGTTTGGTGGTGGGAGTGCTATTCCTTGCAGTTGGGATCATTCCGATAGAAAGCAAACTTGAACTGTATCCATGGTGATCTTGGTTCGACTGATCGTAGATTTCATCCAAGATCCAAGGTGGTTCAGGCTTCCTTTGGACTGCAAACGCATTTGAGTTAATGTTCATCAGAAGGATTTGCGTCCAGGGTCGTTCATCTTTGAGTCACGTCCAGGGTCGTTCATCTTTGAGTCTAGTCCAGGGCTGTGAGTAGGACGAATGTTCAAAATGGTGGGTAGATATATTCTGGCTGAAGGATTTCCGTAGTATATCTGTCTAGTCCAGGGCTGTGAGTAGGAAGAATGTTCAAAATGGTGGGTAGATAGATTCTGGCTGAAGGATTTGCGTAGTATATCTGTCTTATTTCGGCCACCTTTTATTGAGCTTCAAGTTAGTCTTTTTTGAGAAGTTTTAATTCTGTTGAGATAAGAGGGATCCTGGGACGCTGGACCCAGTTTCCAGCAAGGCTCTTCGTGACTCCGGGTGAATTGTGAGGTCCCCGGCCTCAGCCACTCTTTTTTTGGAATATAAAGTGACAACTCCTCCGAAAAAAAAAAAAAAACAAGAAAAAAAAAAAAAAAACATGCGCCAACTCGAAATGAGGGATTTCGGTCCAAAAGTATCCGTTGGGCATTTTCTTGTTTTTTTGTTTTCCTCTCTGACACCACGGTCCAAAAGTATCCGTTGGGAATTTGTTTTTTTTCCCTCCCCCCCCTCTGACACCACCGCCGACCCCTGTAAACATAACACCAGGGGCGAGGTCCCATTAGCAAAGTGGATTGGATTGAGCTCCTGAATCTGGACGTGTTGTAAGCAGAGATGCAGAAAAGCAGTTCAATCTCGAATTCTGCACCTCTTCGCGAACAGGTCTCGATTCAGGCGTTCAATTCAATCCTTGTTGCTAGTGGGACCTCGCCCCAGGTCTGACACCACGGCCGTGGGTATCGAACTCGGCGCGGTTTTCTTTGCCGACTCGTGTTTTTTTTTGCCCATTCGATACTCAAAGGTGACATGAACGTACTTACCTCCAAAAAAAAGGACAAGAGTCCTCAACTCCATGTGCATAGAGATCCCCAATACAGGCAGGAGAAGCTTTGGGGCAGAGATACATACCGATTCACAAGTTATGGACGAAGGCAGACTGCTAAGTGGTATGAGGCAGAGTGGTACGACAGTGCTCTGGAGGAGATTCGAGGCAGACAGATGATGTCAAGCGTTTTTTTTCTTCATTGGCTGACTAGGGGCGTTGCCGCACGGCACACGAAACGAAAAACGAAACGAATGTTTCTTCCCACAGAAAATGGCCACGTTCATCGGTTTGCTATAAATAGTAACGAGTGTATTTTGCCACCTTCGGTGGGCAGATGCACTCGTTTCGTTTTCGGTTCGTGTGCCGTGCGGCGAGACCCTAATTTGGTTACGTCGTCAGATATCTTAAATGGCCGCCACTTGGTTCGGAATGGTGTGACAGAGGGCGTCGCCGCACCACTCACCAAATTCAGAGAAGACAAAAATTATGGCAGTGAATGTTTCCATGTTTTAGGGGACGATCCGTTCTCGGTTTTTACATTTCGCGCGCAGTGGTGCGGCGAGGCCATACAAAAATGACTATAAGTCGGTCTGAAAAGTAGATTTCTCGATTTATGCGTGTCATCCTTGCGCAGGGGCCATGCTAATCTTCTCTGTATCGTTCCAATTTTAACGGATGTCCCGAAGGACTGAAAAGCAGATTTTGGCAAACGTACGAGGGCCTTCTAATTTGCGTATCCAAATATTTTTGTCACAGCGCCTTCGGGAGTCCTTCGGGACATCCGTTAAAATTGCAACGATACAGAGAAAAATCACCTCCACCACCTGAATTGTTTTATGGTCGGTCCTTCGGGACATCCGTTAAAATTGCAACGATACAGAGAAGATTAGCATGGCCCCTGCGCAAGGATGACACGCATAAATCGAGAAAAGTTTTATGGTCGGTCCACATCGATTCGCATACTTTGGACCATTTCTCAATTTATGCGTGTCATCCCTGCGCAGGGGCCATGCTAAGGGCCTCGCCACACCACTGTCGAAACGAAAAGAGAACGAATGCATCTGCCGCGGAAAGTGGTAAGATGCATCCATTGCTATTCATTCACAGTAACGGACGCATCTTGCCCTTCACTGCGGGAAGATGCATTCGTTCGTTTTTCGTTTGACATTGGTGTGGCGAGGCCCTTTAAGTTAGCATGTGCCGACGGAAAGTTGCCCCAAATACAGGCATAATGACCGTACGCTGTATTGGGGAGAAGAAGATTAAAAAAAAAAAAAAAAAAAAGATGAACAAGAACAAGAACAAGAAGAACAAGAAGAAGGTAATCGTCTCGGTATCGTTCCAATTTTAACGAATGTCCCGACGGACGATTCGCATAATTTCGAATTTGACAAATTCATCAAGATAAGCCTGGTTGGTTGGTTGGTAACTAACGGAATTGACAGTTCATCGGCCTGACGAAAATCAAGGGAATCAATACCCCTTTCTCGGCCTTTTGGCCAAGTAAGATCAAGTGCAGTATCTGTTCTGATCAGTTTAATATCTGATCCTTGGTCCAGCGTTACCTCTGTGTTGCACTGCGGGAGAGTGCGGCACACCCCTCCCCTGCAAGGTCAAAAAAAAAAAAAAAAAAAAAAAAAATGAAGGGAATCCTCGTTGCTTTCTCTTCCTCCTTTAGACAACGAGGATCGTAGTACTGTGGTAATAACGTTTCGCACTGGCTGATGAGCTCAGATTGATGCAAACGACAAGAGACGAAATACAGTATGTCCAAGTAATACTGTATGTCCACTCCTCCTCCCGCCCACCCGCCCACTCGCTCTCCTCCTCCCGCCCAAAAACAGACAACAACAAAAATCCGATCACTCCCTCGACTCACACGAACCACCAATCATCCATCACCTCTCCGTCTTTTCGATCGCAGCCCTTCCAGCAGTTGATGAGCAACCGGACGAACCTCTCCAAACTTTACAATCCTTCACTGTTTCATTTTTTTCCTTTTTCCTCCATGCTAATCTTCTCTGCATCGTTCGAATCTTAACAAATGTCCGGAAGCACTGTTTCCGCCCTATCCAGTCGCACTGTTTCAGTCCATCCGGTCCCTACTATGCTGCCCACCCGAACCATTCAGACCCGTCACTTCCACCCATGACAGCTAGGTAGAGTAGAGTAATCAGATCCTCAAACCTTTCAAGGGCCGTCGCCTATGCGAGCACACTGTGATTGGCCGCGTCATCTGACGCTCTTACGTGCGGATTGTTCTAATGGAATCATCTTTAAAGCACGTGCGGATTGTTCCAATGTTCTAATCAGTCATTGCTTGTCTTTCTCATTCGACCCGCTCACTTCTTCCTGGGTAAGGTAAACATCCTTCTTCCTCTGCCTAGAAGATCATTTCCTCCTCCCCTCGTCATCAAACTTATCACAATGCACATCTGCTCCTCTCCTCTTGCCCTTCTCAGCCCCCTCTGCCTCCGCCCTCCAACAATAGAACGCCCGGTCATTATCGCCCAATGTATCTGCACCGCAACTTGGCCCGATGCAGCGATAATGACCGGGATTTCTGTTCAGGTGAAGACGGTGGCCCTCCCGCGCTCCACGAAGTGCACACTTTTTTCTTCTCTCTCCTCTTTTTATTTGTTGTTTTTCCCCTAATTTTGGACCATTTCTAGATTTATGCGTGTCATCCTTGCGCTGGGGCCATGCTAATCTTCAGTCTCTGTATCGTTTCGATGTACTCTTTTAAATTGTCTTACTATGACACTTTCTAAATTCTTTACTTCTTACTTCTTGACTTTTTTATGGGTTCAATGTTCCCCAGGTTGGTTTAGTTGAGCCGTGAGTACCTACACACCATCCGCTTGGTCGCTTACAAAACTTGTCAGCAAAGGAGTCCACGGGGAGGGAGGAGCAGCATGAAAGAGCATGGGAAGCAGGGGCTAATGGGTAAGAAAGCCGCCTTCCCGGCGAATAGGCCAGAACAAAACTGCCGTCTACCCGGCGAGTAAAAAGTACAGGCATTAACTTGGTGATGGAAACCGGAGTTATGGAGGATTAAGCAGCCAATCATGCTAAAGGACATGGCGTTGACGTACGGCCATTAACTTGGTGACGAAAACCGGAGTTATGGAGAGTTAGCACCCAACCATGCTAAGGACCTGGCGCTAGAAAGGAAAACGTACGGCCATTATCGCTGTATCTACAGCAGCTATAATCACCGCACGTTCTATTCGAGGGAAGACGCGTGGTGGCGTGGTGACGGAAATAAAAAGAAGCCTCAATTGAACAAGGGTCATTTCAGCGGCTGGCACAAACCATGCGTGGTTTCAGAGGCATAACGGTCGCACGCAAGGACAAAAGAACGAGATTCATCGCAAGACTGTGTACATTCATCATGTTTCTTGGCGGCAAGTTGGGCATGCTATTTATGGATGAAGGGGATAAAGGACCGTGTTACCAAAACCATGCCATCACAGTGCACCGCTGGCATAGGCGATGGTGCCTGCAGCCATGAATCCACCAGCCGGCACTTTCGAAGTGACGGTCTTGACCAGCAGCAGGTTTACAGTCCATTGCGCAGAGAAGCAACAAAACAAGAAGCAGGAAACAAGGCTGATGAGCAGAATACTAACATTTTATCTGCCTTCTTCATTGCTTTCTCCGTTTCCTTCAGTTCATTTGCTCCAATCATCTTCGCTTGACTCCTTCCCGTCAACTGCAGACTCTGTCGAGTCTTCTTCCGTGTCCCTGTAACCCCTCTCTCTCTCTCTCTCACACGAGATTCTGTCCACTCTTCTTCCCTCTCCCTGTAACCTCTCTCTAACCTCTCTCTCTCTCTCTCTCACACACACACACACACACACACACACACACACACACACGCGCACACACTCTTTCGTTGAAGAGTTGAGCACCAACACACCCACACCCACACACACGCACTCTTTCGTTGAAGAGTTGACTATACTGCTCTTCTATTCACTTCCTTGAACTCGTCGTCTTACAGAGACACAGTGCATAACCACGCCTGGCACGTGAGTGCAGCTGAGGACAGTCGTGATCAATTGGTCGGTCTTCGTTTCCTCCCAGCTGGGCATTTATTCGTTTTCTCCCTTCCGGCACGTTTTAGGCGTTCACCAGACATGCCCGTCTGTTTTCCGCTTGGTCACCGCAGACATGTGCAATTCTCTCAGTGACCCTGCCCTCTTCCCGCCGTGTGCGCTGCGGTTCTGCTTGCGCCCTTGGCCCCCATGAGAAGGTCCGAAAACTGCGCTGGAGGTAGATAGACCGGCCGATTGGTTTATCCCGTCCCGGAACGAATATATCAGTCCTACTCCCCCACTCTGTTCGTTCGAGCCACCAACGCGCCTCGAACGATGTATCCACAGTGTGTGATGTGAATGTGTTTTCTTTGTCGGAAATTTCATCAGTACCCCAATTGAATGCGTTCTCGTTTCGGGAAAATTGCACCTATACCCAGTCCCAGGGCCAACTTGCATCTAGGCGCGGGGAACGCAGCCCTAAGGTAGCCAAAGCAATGAGACTAAGAGGCTGATCCCACTATGAACTTTTACCAAAAAGTCATAAAAGTCCCTTGAAAGTAGGAGAAGTGCCATTCGTACGGAAAAAGTGGGATGATCCCATAGGCCCGGGCTTCTTGGCGCTTCGCTGAATTTTGACGCACGGGTCCAGCGAAGACACCCGGTCTCCTTTTGTCTCCGCGCGGCTCACAAATTTTCCCAGCCCACAAAGGAGGGCCTGTGCGATGTACATCCTGCACTTGTCCGTTGTACCACGGACACAAGAAAGACTGCCTTCGCAAAAAAAAAAAAAAAAAAAAAAAAAAAAAAAAAA